TACGAGCATCCTGAAAAAAATCATGCTAGGGCTTATTTTCTGGTTGGGTCTTATTTTTGGGGAAATAGGGTAGTAGATTTCCAAGGTCCAAGGCAGGACAAGAAGCAACGGTGGATGGAAAGTAATCAAGGACAGAAGCAACTTTAGAACTAAGGAGAAATTTCCTGACAGTGTGAACAATTAATCAGCGGAACAGCTTGCCACCAGAAGTTGCAAATGCTTCAACACTGGAAGCTTTTAAGAAGAGATTGGACAACCATTTGTCTGAAGTGATAGAAGGTTTCCTGCCTGAGCAGGGGGTAGGACTAGAACAGTATTTCTCAACCTTGGTAGCTTGAAGTTGGGTGGACTTCAACTCCCAGAATCCCCCAGCCAGAAGATCTCCAAGATCCCTGTGGTGGTTAAGTTAGTAACATGGTTGTTAAGTGAATCCGGCTTCCCCCTTGACTTTGCTTGTGAGAAGGTCGCAAAAGGGGATCGCGTGACCCCGAAACGGTCATAAATGTGAGCCCATTGCCAAGCATCTGAATTTTGATCACGTGACCCTGGAGAATGCAGCAACGGCCGTAAGTGTGAAAAATGGTCATAAATTGCTTTTTTTCGATGTCGTAACTTTGGATGGTCGCTAAATGAACTGTTGTGAGTTGAGGATTACCTGTAATTGGCGCTTTGGCTCTCCGTAAGAAGATATCTCCATGTTAGCTGGCAGAGTTGTCTTGTGCATTATTTATTAAGCAGGTTGTATTTTTCATGCTTACTTCATTCCTCCTCTTCCTCTTCCTCCTTTTTCTCTTCTCCTCCTCCTCTTCCTCCTTTTTCTCTTCTTCCTCCTCCTTCCCCTCCTTCCCCTCCTCTTCCTCCTTTTTCTCTTCTTCCTCCTCCTTCCCCTCCTCTTCCTTTTTCTCTTCTTCCTCCTCCTTCCCCTCCTCTTCCTCCTTTTTCTCTTCTTCCTCCTCCTTCCCCTCCTCTTCCTAATTTTCCTCCTCTTTCTCTTCTCCTCATTCCCCTCCTCTTTCTCCTCCTCCTTTTCTCTTCTTACTCATTCCCCTCCTCCTTTTTCTCTTCCTCCTTCCCCTCCTCTTCCTAATTTTCCTCCTTTCTCTTCTCCTCCTCATTCCCCTCTTCTTTCTCCTCCTCCTCCTTTTTCTTTTTCCTCATTCCCCTCCTCCTTTTTCTCTTCTCCTCCTCCTCTTCCTCCTTTTTCTCTTCTTCTTCCTCCTCCAGCTCTTCCTCCTTTTTCTCTTCTTCCTCCTCCTTCCTCTCCTCCTTTTTCTCTTCTCCTTCCCCTCCTCCTCCTCTTCCTCCTTTTTCTCTTCTTCCTCCTCCTTCCCCTCCTCTTCCTTTTTCTCTTCTTCCTCCTCCTTCTCCTCCTCCTCCTTTTCCTCTTCTTCCTCCTCCTTCCTCTCCTCTTCCTTTTTCTCTTCCTCCTCCTCCTCCTTTTTCTCTTCTTCCTCCCACTCCTCTTTCTCCTTTTTCTCTTCTCCTCCTCCTTCCCTTCCTCCTTTTTTTCTCCTCCTCCTTCCCCTCCTCTTTCTAGCCTTAAGCCTCTTCTTCTTGGCGTTCGAACCCAACACTTGTTCACAACTGTAAAAGTAGCTGAGCTTGGAATTTGGGTTGGCTCCAGATTCAAATATAATATCTCCTTCCAGGTGCTCCTAAGTTTGAAGCCGTGTGCAAAAGCGCTAATAAGCAAATGAAGAGTGCATATATATATATATGTATGTATGTATGTATATATATGTATGTGTGTATATATATATATATGTATATATATATATATATATATATATATATAAACTTGCACGAATTTGAAAGACCTACAACATTATAGAGCCTGCATTGCTCTTCCTAACTCCGTCTTTTTTTGTGGCCGCCGGAAAGGGGGGGGGGGGGGGGGGAAAGAACTGTTGTAAGTGGAGGACTATTTGTGAAGGCAGGTTACATAAATAAATACATAAATAAAAAGTGGGACATGCTTTAGGAAGGAAAGAATCGGACAGACGCGGTTGGTTTCTGGAATCCAACACACCTTACAAAGAATTTAATCCTTGCCCCATATCTGAGATTGCGCTCCCGCGAAGTCAGTGAGTCCAAGGCTTTTCCAGATAGGAAGTCTGTGTAGATACGAACGATGATGTTTTTGTGGGTCTGGGTGTGAGTGTGTTGCTTCCACACTTCCTGGAATTTGCCAGTAGGCTGTGCTGTCATGCTTTTTTTCCCCCCCTTTGTTTTCCTACCGCCTCTTCCGTTTACTTCTCGCTTTGCGCAAGGCCGTGTCGAATAAGGAAGGGTGACCACATCGCTTCGTGGTGGCGTTGTCACCTTCCCCCTGAAAACCTTTTCCCGCGTTACACACACACAGACACACACCCTTACAACAAAAACATGCAATCCTAGGTTGCATTCACAGAGGGAAGATCACATGAGATATTAGCACCGCTTTATAAAGCCTTAGTAAGGGGACACTTGGAGCATTGCATCCAGCTGTGGTCGACCCGATGTAAAAATGATGTTGAGACTCCAGAAATTGTGCAGAGAAGAGCAACAAAGATTAGGAGGCTAAAACCTACGAAGAACGGTTGCAGGAATTGGGTACGTGTCTTATTTCATGAAAAGAAGGGGTGACACGATAGCATCTTCCGATATTTGAGGGGCTGCCATAAAAAAGAGGGAGGGTCAACCTGTTCTCCAAAGCACCTGAAGAAGAATGGATGGAAACTAAATCAAGGAGAGAAGCAACCTAGAACTGAGGAGAAAGTTCCTAGTGGTTAGAGCAAGGGGTCAGCAACCTGCGGCTCTGGAGCCGCATGTGGCTCTTTCACCCCTCTGCTGCGGCTCCCTGTCACTCAATATATGCGTCACAACCGCCAATGCGCGACACCCGCCGGCACACAATTTATTCAGCTTTTCAACCTCCGGTAGGCCAACCATGAATAAATCCAAGAAAAGAAAAGTTTCAGAAGAAAACAGAAGGTTTAATTCAACTACATATGTTAATTTTGTGGGCGCTCAGGAAATCGTCAGGCACGGGAAAGGTTTTGTGGCTCCCGGTGTTTTCTTTTCTGTGGGGAAAAAGGTCCAAATGGCTCTTTGAGTGTTTAAGGTTGCCGACCCCTGGGTTAGAGCAATCAACCAATGGAATTGGTAAATTGGATTTTTAGCATTATTTATTGTCTTGTTTTAATTGCTGTGAGCCGTCCCTAGTCCTTCGGGAGAAGGGCGGCATATAAATATTTAATTATTTAATTATTTATTTATTTATTTATAAATAAATAAATAAAATAAATAAAATAAAATAAAGTAAAATAAAATAAATAATAAAATAAAATAAAATAAAATAAAATAAAAAATAATAAAATAAAATAAAATAAAATAAAATAAAATAAAATAAAATAAAATAAAATAAAATAAAATAAATAATAAATAAATAAATAAATAAATAAATAAATAAATAAATAGTGGCTGCTCCATTCCTGGAGACTTTCAAGAAGAGGCTGGACAGCCACTTCTCAGAAACGATATAGGGACTCCTGTTTGAGCAGGGGGTTGGACTAGATGACCTCTGAGGTCCCCTTCCCATACTGTTGTTCTGTTCCGTTCATATTTTGTTTAAGGACAAAATATATATATATATTTCTCCTCCTATGGGGTGAGCCACATATTTTATATATTTTTTTTAACGCAGTGGGTAAGTTCCTGGGTTCTGACAAGCGACGATGTCTTTTCTTGTAGCCTAAATTTACTTTTTTTCTCGGGGTGGAAAGAATTTTTTTTTTTTTGTCGTGTGTTTTTTTTTTTCTCTCTTTGAACCGTGTGGAAAAAAAACCCTCTCCGTCGTTCTGCTCCTAGTTAGAGAGGAAATGAGGGTTTGGCTGAGCAGAAGCTGGCGGAGATCAATTTGACTTGATCAGTTTGTCTGTCTGTCTGCCTACCTACCTACCTACTTACCTGCCTGCCTGCACTATAAAACCAGGGTTCTCTACGGCTGGCTGGGGAATTCTGGGAGTTGAAGTCCACCAGTCTTAAAAAGTGGTCGAGTTTGGAGAAGAACCCTGCTACAAGATCCTAGCTTATGTACCTATAGGGGCTTATTCAGAAATTACTTTGTGAGTTCCCAGCCGTCGGCATCTGTGAAACTATTCTGTGCACACAAACCGTATCATACTTCCCAGGTCCTACTCAGGGGTGGGCTTCAAAAATTTTAGCAAGGGGTTTTCTCTGACCGGTTGCTGGGTGGGCGTGGCCATGGTGGGTGTGGCTTAGTCGGCCTCCTGCACCACGATGAGGGGGGGGCGAGTTTTTGACCTCCCCGGGCTCCGGAGGCTTTTCTTGAGCCTCCGGGAAGGCGAAAATGGCCTCCCCAGACTCTGGAGGCCGGAAACAGGCTTCCTGAACTTCCACTAGGCCCGTTTTTCACCCTCCCTGAGCCTCCGCGCACGCCCTGCACTTACGTGCATCCAAAATGGGCCGTGTGGGGACTCCTTGGTGGGGTGACGGGGCCAGCCAGGAGTGGGATTTGAGGGTTCTCCGAACTGCACAGAATCTTAGCTAGAGGTTCTCCCGAACCCGTGCAAACCCCCAGCAGCCCACCCCTGGTCCTACCAATCTACTACTTGTAGGACTGGGTAGGACGTGTAGCACACCTTCTACTTCCTTCAAGGAAGCCATGACACTGAGGTGGAGAAGTTGGAAACCTGTCAGAGGTAGAGCCTTCTGCACCCCCAATTTATCCTTTTTTGAGACCGAGCGTATTCCTCGGAATAAGGAATTCAGCCGAAAACCTGCTAAGCAGCTGTGTGTGTGGCGAAAGGGGCCTGCGGAACGAAAAGAAAGGAACGAGAAAAAAAAGTCTATTTTTAGGGTGGTTTGGAAATTTCCTCTTGCAGCTTCACGTGCCCTGTGGAAATCTCCTCTCCTCCTTCCTTCCTCCTCCTCCTCCTCCTTCCTCCCTCCCTCCCTCCCTCCTTCCCTCCTCCTCCTCTTCTTCTTCTTGCAATCAGCACATAGCATAGGACCACGGTTCGGAAGCCACGCCTTGCAACGACAGGAATGCTTGCGAACTTCTCGGAAGGAAGCCAAGTTAGGGATCTAATTCAAGAAGAGGACGGACGGACGGTCGGACAGTCAGAGCGGCCTGGGAGAAGAGCCAACCCAACCCACATTAAATTAAGACAGCCCCTCCAAAGCATTCTCGGGAGGGTGTTTTCGACCGGATGCATAGCTAGTCCTTGCCACGCTGACAAGAACCGAAATCTTTGCAGCTGTTACTCTGCTGGTTGGTTTGCAGGAAAATCAACTTTCCCTGGTGCTTTTGCAGGAAAACCAACTTTCCCCGGAGCTTTGCGTTAAAAGCAACTTTCGCCGTGTTCCCGGCCTTGCGGAAAAAAATTGCTGGGAGGGTCTCGGGACCATGCCACACAACATGTGAGTGTCTTTACTGGTTTTCGGAGCCTGCTGGCAAACATGTCAACGAGGTGTCCCTTCCACCAAAGGGAGGTTGCGTACCCGACAGCTTGCCAAATGCTACCCGCTCAGCGTTGGGGCTGTGCCGGGTTCGAGGAACGCCAACTTCCTGCAGATTCCCATGTTTTTTGGGGGGTTTGCCTTCAGAGTGAGGTCGAAGAGTTTTTTTTTCATCCCCTTTTATGGAGTTCCCTACCTACAGGGATGGGCACCTATGGATGGCAACTTGTGGACTTCAACTCCCAGAATTCCAGGTTGGCTGGCTTAGGAATTCTGGGAGTTGAAGTCCACAGATCGTCAGAGGGGGCTATGCTTGCCCATCCCTGCTCTGCTTTGTGGTTCAAATAGGGTGGGTGGGTGGGTGGGTGAAGGAGAGGAGACGAGGGGAAGTTACGAGGCAGTCCATGGGTCTGGGACATGTTTGGTATGCAGTGTTTGGGTTCTGGAGTCCCGTGCTGGATTTGAAATGGGGGTTTCTGTTGTATTTTGCTATTTAGGGGTTCTTGGCTTTCAAGATGGAGGGGTGAGGACCCCTTTTCCTTTTCCCTTCTGGTCTTTTGTTTGCGTTTTACATTATCACGAAGTTTAATAAAAACAAAATACGTTTCTAACTAGAGCTATCAAGCCAAATCTGTAACTTCGGTTATAGAAATGGCTTGTATCTATTAGAAAAGGAGAAAGTTGAGGGTGGAACTCCTTTTTTATTATTTATTATTTTATTTTATTAGTTCGATTTATATGCCGCCCTTCTCCGGAGACTCAAGGCGGCTTACAATGCTTTTAAGCAAAAGCCTTCATATTTTTGTATATACCTGCTTAGTAGGACTTTCGGCCCCCCCAAACAGTGTTCTTTTTTATACAAAGTCAGCTTATTGCCCCCACAAACCAGGTCCTCTTTTTTATGTTCTACTCATCCAAAAGAATCAGAATCCTTTCCCCTTCCCCTCGTCTACCTTCCCATCCCCTCCCTTCTCTCCTCCCCTCCCCTCCTTTCCCTCACCCTTTCCTCCGTGTCTTTTTCTTCCTTCCCTTCGCCCCTTTCCCTTCCCTTTCCTCTCCTCCTTTCCTTTCCCTTTTCCTTTTTCTTTTCCTTACTCTTCCCCTCCTCCACCCTCTCTTCCCCTCCCTTCTTCTCTCCTCTCCTCCCCTCCCCTCGCTCACCCTTCCTTTTCCTCTGTGTCTTTTTCTTCCTTTCCTTTCCTCCGTCTCTCTTTCCTTTCCTTCTTTCCTTCCCTTCCCTTCTCTTCCCTTCCCTTCCCTTCCCTTCCTTTCCATTTTATGCTACCGTAAACTCAAATAAAACCAAAATAATAACTCCTGTTACAGAAATAGCTGTTCTCTATTTTTTTAAAAAATGTACCGTGTGTAAAATGTCAAGGCTATAATTTTGTACTTTACCGCACCAAAAAAAAAAAATCGGAAGTCCTTTCCTTTTCCACTTTCTCTCTCTTTTTTTTTAACCCTGAATTCTTTTGAGGTTCCCCTTCCCCCTCTGATCTTTATTTCTATTTCTATTTTATATTACTATAAATTCTAATTTAAAAATGCTTTAAAAAAAAAATAGAAGAGTGGAGCTATGCCAGCAATTCCTTTCTCCCACGCACCTGGTTTTGTTTCACCGAACGTGTGTGTGTTTCTTTTTTGCCTGCCACAATCCAACACAATTTTGATTTCCATCCCGTATCTTGGTGCGCCCATCCTAATCCTCTCTTAAAAACGTCGTTCAGTTTTGGACAAACAGAATCGACCCTTTCTCCTAGCCTTTCATTCAAAGAGCCTTGGTGGCGCAGCAGACTAAAGTGCTGTTAAGTAGCACTTAGCTGCCAGCTGCCTGCAATTACTGCGAGTTCAAATCTCACCAGGCTCAAGGTTGACTCAGCCTTCCATCCTTTCGAGGTAGGTAAAATGAGGACCCGGATTGTGGGGGCAATAAGGTGACTTTATATTAAAAAAAACACCACTTGGTGGGGCCGAAAGCCCTACTAAACAGGTATATACAAAAGTATGAAGGCTATTGCTTAACGCATTGTAAGCTGCCCTAAGTCTCCAGAGAAGGGCGGCATATATAAATCGAACCAATAAATAAACAATAAATAAATTGTGGCTGCTGTGTAGTTGTGTTTGCCTGCTGTGCCAACAGCCCTCCCTCAGCTCATTCCCATCTATCTTTTTGTGATGCTTCTGGCTCCCCTCTCACTTTCAGCCTTGTACGGGCGGTCCTCGATTTACAATCAAACTGAGCCCAGCGTTTCCGTCGCGAAGCGAGACAGTTGCTAAGCGTGAGCCATGCCTCAGTTTACCACCTCTCCGGCCGCAGGGTTGTTAAGCGAATCCTTGCAGTTGTTAAAGGGAGTCACCCTCACCCGGGTTGTGAAGCGAATCGTGCTTCCCCATCGTCAGAAACAAGGGGAATCATGTGACCTCGGGACATTGCAACCGTCCCTAATTGCAACCCTGTTTCCCCGAAAATAAGACCCAACCGGAAAATAAACCCTAGCATGATTTTTCAGGATGCTCGTAATATAAGCCCTACCCCCCAAAATAAGCCCTAGTTAAGATTGTCAGCCAGATGGATGCATTTAATACCGTATTTCCCACAAAATAAGACCTAATTAGAAAATAAGACCTAACTAGAAAATAAGCCCTAATGCATCTTTGGGAGCCAAAATTAATATAAGAAATGGTCTTATTTTGGAGGAAACACGGTACTTGCCAGTTGCCAGGCCTCTGAATTTTGATCACGTGATCATGGGGATGCTGTAACGACCGTAAGGCGGGAAAACCGGTCCTAATTCCATTTTTTCCAGGGCCGTTACAACTTCGAGCGGTCACTAAACGAACAGTCGTAAGTCGAAGAGTAACTATATCCTCTTTTTTGGTGTGTTTTAAGAACAATACAGCTGCATTGAAGGATGTAAACCTCCTACCCACCCCAGGAGTTTTGAATTCTCACCATGTGGTTTTTCCTGTTTTTTGTGTTTTTTTCCTCAGACCATCCATGAGCTCAGATTTCCAGCATTATAGTTTCAGGATGCCAAACATTGGATTCCAAAACCTGCCTCTCAACATATACATCGTGGTCTTTGGCACGGCGATTTTTGTCTTTATCCTGAGTTTACTTTTCTGCTGCTATTTGATAAGGTAAGAAACAAACAAATACCCCTTTCCTTTGGTGGGGAGAAAAATGTAGTTTACTCAAAGACAGTGAAGAAAGTTTAAAGCAGAGGTCTTCAAACTTGGCAGCTTTAAGACTTGTGGACTTCAATTCCCAGAATTCTCCAGCCAGCACTGGAGAATTCTGGGAGTTGAAGTCCACATGTCTTAAAGCTGCCAAGTTTGAAGACCTCTGCTTTAAAGATTTTAAGATTTTAAGTGAAGAAAGTTTAAAGGTTTTTAAGACTGTACAGGTAGTCCTCGGCTTACGATCACAATGGAGGCCAAAATTAATGTGCTGCTAAGTGGGAAAATTCATAAAGTGAGTTTTGCTCCCATTTTACGACTTTCCTTGCCACCTTTGTGGAGTGAATCACCGCAGCTGTTAAATTAGTTCACCCAGTCGTTAAATGAATCCGGCCTTCCCCATTGACTTTGCTTGTCAGAAGGTCGCAAAAAGGGATCATATGTGACACAAAAAAACCGTCATAAATCTGAGCCAATCATGTGACTTGCAACAGTCGTAAGAATGGAAAATGGTCATAAGTCACCTAAGTCGCAAAAAGGGAATCACGCCACCCCAGGACACTTGCAGCCGTCATAAATATGAGTCGGTCAACTAGCATCCAAATTTTGATCGACAGACACCACATCACTTCCGTGATAAGCCGTCATAAATCACTTTTTTGAATGCTGTTGTAACTTCCAACGGTCACTAAATGAACTGTTGGAAGTCGAGGACTAGCTGTCATGACTTCCTGTTTTAAAATGCAAATGCTGATTTCAGGTAAGTCATAAGGCGGCCATCTGCAAATGTTTAAGCAAATTATAAAGGAGGCTTCCTTGAGTTCAGGAATGTTTGAATGTTTGGCTCAGCTATTTGCCTTCCTCCTTCACATTCTCCAGGATGAGTGAGCACTTGTTCAAATGCTTGAGTTGGAAAGTCCTCATAGTTTGTCTCCAACACGCTCAGAACAATTGGTCACTGATAAAAATGACAGTTAGTCTTGGATCTAACCCAAAACTTGGGTTTAATTGCAAAGTTAGTCTTGGGTCTAATTGCAAAATTGTGAAGTTAGTCTCGGGTCTAAATATCCAAGATATTGGGCCTAATTTGGTCACCACACTATAAAAAAGATGTGGAGACTCTAGAAAAAGTGCAGAGAAGAGCAACCAAAGTGATTAGGGTACTGGAGGCTAAAACATATAAAGAACGGTTGCTGGAATTGGGTATATGTAGGTTTAATGAAAAGAAGGACTGGGATGACATGATAGCAGTCTTCCAATATCTCAGGGGCTGCCCCAAAGAAGAGGGAGTCAAGCTATTCTCCAAAGCACCAGAAGGCAGTACAAGAAGCAATGGATGGAAACTAATGAAAGAGAGATTCAAATTATCTATCTATCTATCTATCTATCTATCTATCTATCTATCTATCTATCTATCTATATCTATCTATCTACGGTATCTGTCTACCTACCTACCTACTACCTGGATGATTAGGGAACTGGAGACTAAACCATACAATGAACATTTGCAGGAACTGGGCCTGGCTAGTCTAGTGAAGAGAAGGACCAGGGGAGACATGAGAGCAGTCTTCCAGTATTTGAGGGGCTGCCACAGAGAGGAAGGGGTCAAGCTATTTTCCAAAGCACCCAAAGGCCAGACAAGGAATAATGGATGGAAACTGATCAGGGAGAGATTCAACCTGGAAATAAGGAGAAATTTTCTGACTGAGAACAATCAAACAATGGAACAGAAGTTGCCTTCAGAAGTTGTGGGAGCTTCATCACTGGAAGCTTTCAAGAAAAGACTGGACTGCCATCTGTCAGAAATGGTGTAGGGTCTCCTGCTTGGGTGGGGGGTTGGACTAGATGACCTACAAGGTCCCTTCCAACTCTGTTATTCTGTTAATTGCAAGGTTAGTTTTAGGTCTAATTGCAAAAATTGTAAAGTTAATCTTGGGTTTACCTGCAAAATTGCCAATGATTTCTTCCGTTTAATCCTAGAGCTAGGTCTAATTGCAAAGTTAGTCTTGGGTCTAATTGCAAAATTGCAAATTAGTTTTAGGTCTAATCCAAATCGAATCCCACCTGCTTGGGAGCACCTGGATCATCGCTTTGGAGGAAAAATGGCAAGTTAGTTTTGGGTTAATCCGAGCTTTGTCTTAAGAGGAGTGCAGGTGGGTGATTGGCGGGGGGGGGGGGGGCAGGATTTTAGCAGGGGTGAAGCTGTTCCTCTGGAAAAGAATCAGATCGCTTATAGCTTTGCCTCCGGTTTCCAAAGTCCCACATTCTGAAGTGTTTTGAAGCAGACGGGATTAAGCAAGTGTTTGTAACATAGGCTTGCTTCTTGCTTCAGAGCCAACTTCTGTAAGTTGTGCTTGCTAAGTGCACAATATTGCACAACGGGGAACCAAGATTAAACCAAAGCAGGTTCCTCCCCATACTGGAACAGATGAGGAAGTATAAAAGAAAATTATGTTCGTTTAGCAGACAGAACAGAAAGATAATGCAAGTTTCACTGCATCCTAATCCCAGATGGCATGCAGGGTGCTAATGGTTTGGGTGGCTGACATTGTAGGCCCTGCCCGTTCTGGGAAACCCAAGAGAGAAAACTTGAAGCCTTCCCCAAATAGATGTCAGCTCCAAGGGCCCCAGGATTCCTTGCTTTGGGGCCAGTTTGGAGATAAGGATGGGCTTCCTCCATTAGAACTTTGGAAAGCGGCGAAGGCCAGCTCTTTAGGAGGAAGTGAAACACGAGCTGTTCTCCTGAAGGTTGTAGGACGTGTAGGTGAGATGATGGTTGTTGGTCTTGGGGGTGGGTTGGGTGTTTTAGTCTTCACTACCGTAGGGTTTTGGAAACTTCTTGGAGTTGATGGGAGCAGGGTTGAAGCAGAAGAGAGTGGAGCAAACGAGAAGGTGATAAGAGATGTGAAGGAGATGGAGAAGGAGATGTGATAGAGATGGAAATGGAGATGGAGAAGGAGATGGAGATGGAGATGAGATGGAGAAGGAAATGAAGGAGATGGAGAAGGAAATGGAGGAGGAGATGAGATGGAGGGAGGAAATGAAGGAGATGGAGAAGGAAATGGAGATAGAAATGGAGGAGAGATGAGATGGAGTAGGAAATGAAGGAGATGGAGAAGGAAATGGAGATAGAAATGGAGGAGAGAGGAGATGATGGAGAAGGAAATGAAGGAGATTGAGAAGGAAATGGAGATAGAAATGGAGGAGAAGATGAGATGGAGAAGGAAATGAAGGAGATGGAGAAGGAAATGGAGATAGAAATGAGAGAGAGAAGATGAGATGGAGTAGGAAATGAAGGAGATGGAGAAGGATGAAGATAGAAATGGAGGAGGAGATGAGATGGAGAAGGAAATGAAGGAGATGGAGAAGGAAATGGAGATAGAAATGGAGGAGATGAGATGGAGAAGAAACGAAGGAGATGGAGAAGGAAATGGAGATAGAGAAGATGATGAGATGGAGAGGAAGAAGAAGGAGATGAGATGAAATGGAGAAAGGAGGGAGATGGAGATTGATGGAGAGGGAAATGAGATGGAGATACAGGAGACGGTGATGGAGATGAGATGGAGGAAAAGCAGGAGGAGATGGAGATGAAGGGGATAAAAAACAGGAAAGTGATGGAGACGAGAAGGAGAAGGGAGGACGGTTGGGTTTTATCCGCGAGGTTCATATCTAGAATCTGGAAGTAAAGCTTCAGGTTCAACCCCTCGGTGTTGCAGCTTACAAGATCTAGGACCAGATGGTCAGTGGGAATCTTTCAAAAGCAAATTCTGAATTAATCCTGTCCGATCTAACCGAGACGCTCAGCTTTCTCCCTTCTGTTGCAAACGGCCTTGTGCACCCATAACCGCCAACCTTGTCCCTCTTTTAATGAGTCCGGAGGCTCTTCAGCTATTTATAAGAGAACGGCTGCTGCGGTGTTTCATCACGAGATCTGTGCCCCGAAACAGCACGTTCTTTTTTTTAAAAAAAAAAATACATCACTGAATTCTGTGTTAGGGTGTGAAACACAAAGAGGCCCCTTTTTATATATAATTTAAAGAAGAAAGTGCTCTTTACTTATTATCTCAACCTTCTATCTCAACCTCTTTGTACTTTTGTGGTACTCCAAAGCCCATTACTCTTGTTATTTGCTCAGCTCCTTCTGTATCTTTCAGTCACGCTGACGTTTTGCCTTTATCCTCCTCCTTTTGTTTCAAAGCCGGGTGACTCACCCGATTACTTAGTGGAATCTTCCTTTATTGTTCTCCCAAGATAATGTCTACGGCGCACCAGGTGCAGAAAAGGTTTGATGTTCCAGGCGCGGCCCTTTGTCCCAAAGAGTCATGTTCGTTTTTATTCACAGAAGGGGGGAAAAAACCAGAGCTATAAATTCCACAATTTACACAGAACACCGAGTTTCACCGATGGGACGATGCTAAAAAAAACCGGCGTCCTATCTTTTGAGGGAACCCTTCTGTCTCCGTACCAGCTCCTCAAGCGCTTTTATGTTTTCTCTCTCAGAATTTCAGATTCTGAGAGAGTCCTCAAAAAGGACTCTCTCTCTCTCAAATTTGGACATTTTGAGTGCCAGAAACCTTTGGGATCTTACTTGTGTTGTGGCCCGCCAGCGGAGCTGGTAGCAGATTCGGACAGTGAGGAGGTTGAGGAGGAACATGGGCCAGTCCTGGAGCCTGGGGAGGGCTCTGATGAGAGCTCTGCGTCGGAGGCAGAGAGAGGGCCAGGGCCGTCTGACAGTTATCAGCTGCCTTCGGAGTCAGACATCAGTGAGGTAGATGAACAGCTGGAGCCTGTTCCCAGAGTGTGCATGCACAGATTTGCCAGACAAAGGGAACAGCTAAAGAACAAGGGTCGACTCAGGAGTAAGGCCACAGGTGGACGGTGAATGGCCCCTCCCAGAGGGAATAAAAGAGGAGCGAAAGGGGAGTGGAGTTTGCAGGAGACAATTAGTTCACTTAATTGGTTCGCGACTCTCCGTGATTCCTTGCCAAGTTTTGAAGATATCGGCCTGGCAGCTCTCCAAGCCAGATGAGGTCTGTGACTGTAAATTCTCCCTTGAAAGACTTTGCTGGATGTGAATGAGAGGAATTCACAGTAACTTAATAAAAAGGGGGTTTGTGTTGGGACAAGGAGTCTGCTTCATGCTCTTGGGAAGCCTAGGTCAGAACAGATAGGTGGTCTTCGGTGCTCTCTGAGCTTGGTGGTTTTCTTGTAGACGTTTCATAACCCAACTAGGTAACAACATCAGTGCCAGAAGGGAGGAGGGTTTGCAGGGAGGAGGAGGAGAACTGAAAGGTCTCTGGGAGCTCTCTGAGTTGAGTGATCTTTTTGCAGACATCTCATTACCCAACTAGGCAACATCATCAGCTGTAGAAGGGGATGGGGTTTGCAGAGAGGAGGAAGAGGACAAGAATGTGTAGTGGGGACGTTGGTGGTCTCTGAGCTGAGCTGTTTTCTTACAGGCGTTTCATGACCCAACTAGGTAATATCATCAGTGTTTGAAGGGAGGAGAGTTTGCAGAGGAGAGGGGTGGAGGAGGAGAACTGAGGGGAACTATCTGGATTTTGTGTGTGTTGGCCTGTTGTGTGTGTTTGTGTATCTCCTTTTACATATATGTATATTTGTTTTTGCTTTCCAGATTAAGACATCAGGCTCATAAAGAACTTTACGCCTACAAACAGGTGAGCCCAAGCTTCCTTTCCCTTACCCAGCCAATGCAATGGACAGTAAATTCTCATTATTTGCATTCAGTTTATGTTCTAATGCCTTGGTAAGGCCACACTTGGAATATTGCCTCCAGTTCTTGGATGCCACAATATAAAAAGATGTTGAGACTCTAGAAAGAGTGCAGAGAAGAGCAAGTAAGATGATTAGGGGATTGGAGGATAAAACGTACGAAGAACGGTTGAGGGAGCTACATATGTCTAATTTAATGAAAAGAAGGACTAGGGGTGACATGATAGCTGTGTTCCAATATCTCAGGGGCTGCCCCAAAGAAGAGGGAGTCAAGCTATTCTCCAAAGCACCTTCTGAAGGCAGGACAAGAAGCAACGGATGGAAACTTAATCTACGAGAGAACCAACCTGGTGCTCCATCGCTGGAGGCTTTCAAGAAAAGATTAAACAACCATTTGTCTGGGATGATATAAAAACTCCTTCCTTGGGCAAGGGGTTGGACTAGAAGACCTCCAAGGTCCCTTCCAACTCTGTTATTCTATTCTATTCTATTCTATTCCATTCCATTCCATTCCATTCTATTCTATTCCGTTCCATTCCATTCTATTCCTCTACTCTACTCTACTCTACTCTACTCTACTCTACTCTACTCTACTCTACTCTACTCTACTCTACCTATTCTATTCTATTCTGCATTCTATTCTATTCTATTCTATTCTATTCCATTTGTCTACTCTACTCTATTACTCTATTCTATTCGTCTACTCTACCTTTTCTATGCTATGCTATGCTATTCCATTCCATTCCATTCGTCTACTCTACTCTATTCGTCTACTCTATTCTATTCTATTCTATTCTATTCTATTCTATTCTATTCTATTCTATTCTATTCTATTCAATTCGGAGGACCGTTGGATGACTCTGCGTTTGTCCTATAAACAGAACAACCAAGGAGTCCTCAATGAGGAAGCCATATCCATCTGCCGCCAGATTCTAGACTTTGAAACATCCTTCCATCAGTAACCCGTGGATTCCAACTCCCAGAATTCCTCAGACCAACATAACTATTGCTGAGAATTCTGGGAGTTGATCTATGAGGTAGACTTCCTGGTTGGGGAAAAGTGTATTTATAAAGATTTCAGAAAATGCTGTGCTTGTATTCTGGGTTTTCTTTGTTTTGCATTGATAGCATATCCCCTGACAACATATTATTCTTTATTTTCAGGTTATCCTAAAGGAAAAAGTCAAAGAACTCAATTTGCACGAGGTAAGCTGGTCCCTCGCTTGCTTAAACTACCATTGATTAAGATCTCAGCATCTCAGGCTAAACCATACGATGAACGATTGAGGGAAATAGATACGTCTAGTCTAACAAGAAGGCTTAGGAGTGACATGATAGCAGTCTTCCAATATCTGAGGGGTTGCCACAAAGAAGAGGGAGTCAAACTATTCTTCAAAGCACCTGAAGGCAGGACAAGAAGCAACGGATGGAAGCTAATCAAGGAGAGAAGCAACCTGGAACTAAGGAGAAATTTATCTCCACAATTAATCAGTGGAACAACTTGCCTTCAGAGGTTGTGGGTGCCTCCAACACTGGAAGTTTTTTAAGAAGAGATTGGATAACCATTTATATGAAATAGTATAGGGCAGTGATGGCTAACCTTTTTGTCATCGCGTGCCAGGAAAGGGGGGGGGCAGCAGAGGTTCGCGTGCACGTGTGCCCATACCCATAATTCTATGCACCCTACCCCGCGCATGCCACCCCCCTCTCTCCCGCTCCTAGCACACGATGGCCCGGTAGGCCCGTTTTTCTTTCTCACCTGGCTCCAGATCCTCTCTATGCATCTGGGGAGGGCGAAAACTGCCTTCCCCACCCCTCTGAGGCCAAAACGGCCCATTTCCCAACTTCTGGTTGGACAGGAAGTGACTTTTTTGCTGTCCCCAGCCTCCAGAGACTCCGACACATGCGCACCGGAGCTCAGCTGGCGTGCCAGGCGACATGGCTCTGCGTGCCGCCTGTGGCACGCGTGCCATAGGTTCGCCATCATGGGTATAGGGTTTCCTGCCTGAGCATGAGGTTGGTCTAGAAGACCTCCAAGGTCCCTTCCGACCTTGTGATTCTATGTTCTGTTTTGTTATAAGTCAGGCTCCACCTCCATCGTCACGTCTACATCTTCATTGTAATTTAGCCTGGGTAACAAACTGCATTTGGAGTTTCCGTCTGTCTGTCTATCATCTATATCTATCTATCTATCATCTATCTACCTACCTACCTACCTGTTCTATATATCTGCTATCATCTATTTATCTACCTATTCTCTTCTATATAATCTATCTATCATCTATCCATCCATCCATCCATCCATTATCTATCATCGATCCATCTATTTATCTATCTATCATCCATCTGTCATCTATCTATCTATCTATCTATCTATCTATCTATCTATCTATCTATCTATCTATCTATCTATCTTATAAGAGCCTCGGTGGTGCAGCGGACTAAAGTGCTGTTAAGTGCTAGCACTTAGCTGCCAGCTGCCGGCAATTAGTGCGAGTTCAAATCTCACCAGGCTCAAGGTTGACTCAGCCTTCCATCCTTTCGAGGTAGGTGTCAGGTTTCGATGTCAGCTCAAATAAATTGCACTCCCAAACAATGAATCTTTGCGGAAATATTCCATTTATTGAGTACGACAGATCTGGCCCTGACTTTGTCGTAGCCGATACTAACCTTCTGACCCCCAAACCCTTCCCTTTCCGTTCCCCAATTCTCATCTTCTCATTGGCCATCTTCCAAGTAAGTCTCCCCAGCTTCTGACCTCACCCCACAGGAATGTTCCCCCACCATCTCATCTCCTAGGGGATATTATCTACAGAGAAATAAGTAGGTGAAAAGTCAACCCTCGTCTTTTTATGGCAGCATCAGAATGCTGACAGTAGGAAAACTGAGGACTCGGATTGTGGGGGGGCAGTAAGCCAGCTTTGTATAGACCAACACCGCTTAGGGGGGGGCGAAAGCCCTAATAAGCAGGTATATACATAAAAAGTATGCAGGCTATTGCTATAATGCAATGCCCTGAATCTACGGAGAAGGGCGGCATATAAATTGGATAAATAAATAAATAAATAAATCTATCTATCTATCTATCATCCATCTATCATATCTATCTATCTATCTATCTATCTATCTATCTATCTATCTATCTATCTATCTATCATCTACTCTTTCTCTCCCCTCTCTGTCTCTCTCTAATCTATCTGTCTGCCTATCATACCTGTCTATCTTATCAAATGTAGAAACCAACCCATCTCACTCGCCAAAGCAAAACAATGCAGAATTACTTCCCCAAAACCAGTTTGACGCATCCAGCGAACTCACTCCAAAGGGGTCTCCATCAAACGAGGCTTTAGTCTTAGCGTATGGGGAGATAAGATGTCGTCACTCAGCTGACCTTGGCTCACCTTGAAAAAGGCAACCAGGATGTGTACTCAGGGCAGGAAACGCCTCAGGAAAACGCAGAGTTGGAACTAAGATTGGGAAGTTGGAAAAAAAAAATTAGTCAATTTACAGACTGGTTTTCCAATTTTTACTCCAAAATCCGTAGCAATACCGAGAAACACTTTAAAAAGTAGGAATAAGAATCCGAGAAAATTCCCAGCAAAAAAAAATAATAACAACAATGAATCATTCTTCCTCAGAAGTTGTGGGGAAACCCAACTGTGTTGGCCCTAATGCCTAAAATGTCATTTTAATGGGCTTTGCCAAGCTTTTCGATCAAAGTCATGTTATGCACTGTAGGTGTTTTCATTGTGCAGGAAAAAGAAAAGAGGTTTTCCTAAAAGAGGTGTCTTTTTATAGACGCCAGGAGAATTTCCCTCACGGACAACTTTACTGGAAGTCTTTTATTCATTTTCCAGAAAATTCCTTTTGGCTATTTTATTAATATCCCCCAATTCCTCCTTGTCCCATTTCTGTGCTTTTGACGTTCCCTTGCAAACTCTGGTTGTCTGTAAAATCATAAAAAAGACAAGATTGATTTAAAAAAAAAACCAAACAGAGAGAAGGGGGTAGAGAGGGAGGGAGGGAGGAAGGAAGGAAAAAGAAGGGAAGAAAGGGAAGGTCAGGAAAGAAGAGAAAGGGGAAAGAAGGAAAGAATGAAGGAAGCAAAAAAGGGAAGAAAGGGAAGGTCAGGAAAGAAGAGAAAGGGGAAGGAAGGGAAGGAAAAAGAAGGGAAGAAAGGGAAAGTCAGGAAAGCAGAAGAGAAAGCGGAAGGAAGGAAAGAAGGAAGGAAAAGGGAAGAAAGGAAAGGTCAGGAAAGAAGATAAAGAGGAAGGAAGGAAAGGAAGGAAGGAAGAAAGAAAGAAAAAAAAAGAGGGAAGAAGTTGCATTGTTAGTTCTGTTGGCCATCTTGCCTTGTCCTCTAAGGTACCCACATATATCTCTACAAATGCAGGATATTTTGTATGTACCCGCCTAGCTGATAAAATGGAGATGGATCTTAAAGATCTTTTTTTTTTTTTGAACTATTACCATCTGGCAGACGGTACAGGACAATAAAAATAAGGACAAATAAGCTGAAAAACAGCTTCTATCCCAGAGCAGTAACTATATTGAATTTTACCACATAGTTTGTTTGTTTTATTAAATTAGTGCAATATTAATGCAATATCGAGGGTTTTCAATTCAATGGCATAGAAATGTGAAGGATGCATGCACTCTTGTGTTATTTTTTATGTATAATGTACACTGAGGATGGCATTTAATTTCGTTGTACGAGGTGCAGTGACAATAAACTGAATCTAAATCTAAAAATCTAAAACCTAAATCTAAAATAATGGCTTTTTTTTTTAAAAAAAAAAAACCTTTTCTTTTGCTTCTTTTTTCAGATCTGCGCAGTTTGTTTAGAAGAATTCCGACCCAAGGATGAACTGGGAATTTGTCCGTGCAAACATGCGTTCCACAGAAAGTAAGTTCCGATCGGCTTAAGGCTTGTGGACTTCAACTCCCAGAATTCCCCAGCCAGCATGTGACCATGTGGGGGTGCTATTGGCAGCATCTCCGCGATCACATGATCAAAATTTCGGGACTTTGGTAACTGGCAGGTGTTTTATGACAGGTTTGCAGTCCCAGGGTCATGGGACTAACCATGGGTGACCTTCCCAGCTGATCTCCCGACAAGCAAAGTCTAATGGGGGAAACTGGACTCCCTTAACGACCGTTATGATTCATTTAACAACCGCAGAGATTCGCTTAACAGCTTGTGGGGAAAAGGTCACCAAATGGGGCCAAACTCATTTAACAGCAACAGAATTATTATTTTTTTGTGTTGTTTAATGACCCCATAATCCCTTGCGGGGTGAAATCAGGCAACTGAATGGAGCTGAGTGTTTACTGGCGGATGCCCTTCCTGTTGCCAGTGGGGAGTTCGCAGCAGATACATTCTCATTGTGCCCAGAGAGAGAAATATTAGCCACTACCTAGGATGCAACTCACAGCCTCCCGATTGTGAGGCGAGAGCTCCACCTGTGGGCCACCGCACCACTTTTGCTTAGCAACAAAAACACTAGGCCCGTGATGGCGAACCTATGGCACGCGTGCCACAGGTGACACATGGAGCCATATTAGTGGGCACGCCAGCTCAGCTCTGGGGTACATGCACACGCCAGCCAGCTGATTTTGGGCCTTCTGGGCCCACCAGAAGTAGGGAAACAGGCTGTTTCCTGCCTCTGGAGGGCCAGGGGCGGGGTGGGGAAGGCCCGTTTTTCTTTCTTACCTGGCTCCAGATCCTCTCTGTGTATGTGGGAAGGGCGAAAACAGCCTTTCCCACTCCCTTGGAGGCTGAAAGGGCCCATTTCCCCACTCCCGGTGGGACAGGAAGTGACGTTTTTTTCCTGTCCCCAGCCTCTAGAGACTCCTTTAGAGGCTCCTACAGACTCCTAGAGAGGCTCCTAGAGATTCCTAGAGAGGTTCTGGAGGCTGGGGACAGGAAAAAAACGTCACTTCCTGTCCCACGGGAGTGGGGAAATGGGCCCTTTCAGCCTCCGTAGGGCCTCCAAGGGAGCGGGAAAGGCTGTTTTCGCCCTTCCCACATACACAGAGAGGATCTGGAACCAGGTAAGAAAGAAAAACGGGCCTACCAGGCCATCATGTGCCAGGAGCAGGGGGGGGGGGGGGAGGGGGTTGCGCACGCATGCGAGTGGGCACGTGCGTGCGCGACCCTCCCCCCCCCCCCCCCCTTCCTGGCACGCGATGGCAAAAAGGTTAGCCATCACTGCACTAGGCTCAATTGTGGTCGTAAGTCGAGGACTATCGGTAAAGCTTACTTTTTTCTTTCTCTCTCTCTCTCTTTCTGACAGATGCCTCATTAAATGGTTGGAAGTCCGGAAAGTTTGTCCTCTCTGTAACATGGCCGTCCTGCAGTTGGCCCAGCTCCACAGCAAGCCGGATCACCCCGGACCGCCCCAGGAACCCCTGCCTGGCACAGCCAACATCGTATAGCTCCCCGCCGGCTGCCCCTTTGTCCTTCCTAACAGACTCCAATTCCCACAGTGACTCGCCAATCTCTGGCCCTGCTGCTCACGGCCTCCAAGCATTTTTCCGGATCCCCTTTATCTCATGAAAAACATCCGGGATGCACCGAAGGGGAAACCGATGCTCCAACTAGGGAAAAGAAAAAACCCCGACGGGACAGGAGTCGTAAGGACGCAGGAACGCCGGCGAGTCTCCAGTTTTGTTCGTCTCTTCAATTTTATTTTATTTTTTTCTTTTTATACGTGCACTTTACCGAGAGAGGCGTGCGGAGAAGGTCAGCTGCCGGTCTTGGATTCAGATCAGGCGGCCAGTGAGAGAAAGAGAGAGCGAAAGGAAGACTCCAAAGATAAGAGACGCCGTGGGGAGCAAGCGTCCATCTCCAGAGAGAGAGAGAGAGGCCGCAACGTGAGAAAATTGCGTTTCGATTCCAGCATTTGGGATGATCTTTTCGCAAATTGCTCGGGGACCCTGGAGCCAAAATCCCAGCAAAGAAAATCTTTGTTGGAAGAGAAGAGCCGGGATAAGGTCGTTGCGATTCCTGTGACTTCTGGATCGGTAAAAAGAGTTAGTTGCCTCCAGAGGGAAAAACAGCTTTGTGAAAAACGAGAATGGGGTTCTGCTGGAATTGTGACTTTTGGGGAAGGGGAGCCATTGACGATCTACCGAGCCTCAGGAATCCCCATTGAAAAGGGAAGGAGGGAAGAAAGAGGGTTCTCGCCAACGTCTATCTACTTTAAGAAGACATTGCGGAACTGATGAGGAGGTCCCTTTCAGCCCAAATAAATTCCTTGGACTTTGGGACAGGCCGTGCGACCTCCGTCTCTTGTTTCCCCTAATGTGAATTCTTTTTCGAATGGTTTGCCGGCACAGAAAGGCATCTGCAGAATTCGTGTGGATTTGATTTTCTTCTTTTTTTTTCCCCAATGTAAAGTGAGATACATTTCGGGGGCCCGGATGGAGTGTTTTAAAGGGGTTTTGCGAGAGTTATGGGCAGATTTGGGTGGTATGGTTCCTCCGAGTAGAGAGCAGCGGTCGTAAAAAAAAAAAAAAAGTCTTCCTGGCCCAGGCTTAGGTTGTACACGCTGGTCGACCAAGATAGAAAATAAATATATGAGGGAAAGGTGAAGAATTGTGAAAACACCCACCCCTTTCTTGCGTGAAATCTCGTGATATTGCCGAGAATCACGTTTCCCTCTTGTGCGAAATCAGCCAGAACTTGTCAGATTTTAGCAAATGTTTTATTACAATTATGGGGAAGCAGCTGGAATGGCTTCTACCCATTGCACTTACATCATCATCATCTTCTTCTTTTAATGACCCCATAATTCAGTTTGGGCAACTGAATGGAGCTGAATGTTTACTGGCCGGATGCCCTTCCTGTTGCCAATGTGGAGTTATATTCAGCAGATACATTCTCATTGTGCTGAGAGAGAGAAATATCTGCCTCTACCAAGGATCGAACTCACAGCCTCCTGATTGTGAGGCCAGAGCTCCACCTCTAGGCCACCGCACCACTCCCCCATGGCATTTATCTCAAATCCTTAAACTGGTGACTACCTGGGTGTGGGACTACAGCTCCCAAAATTCCCAGCCATTCCAAACTGAGAATTCTGGGAATGGCAGCCCACAAACATCTGGAGAGCAGCTGAGAACGGCAACCTACCGAAACGAGAAACGCTTTTTCCGCATCCTTTATTTTCCGCTCACCGAAATCTGGACTTCCATCCGATTTATGCACTTTTTTAAAATTAGGTTTATATTTTTTTTCATTAGAATCCATTAGATCGTTGGAGAGGATTGACCTTAGTGAATTGGACTTCTTGAAAATACCTGCTTGCGTTAGAATGAGCAAGTTTCTAGACCTCATTGTCCCGAGAAAACGTTGGGTGCATTTCATATAAGCGAGGCAGGAAGCGACCTCTTAAATTGGATTCCCTCTTTTTTTTTTTGTGGGGCGGTGTTATTGTTTAATTGTTTCGAATTGTTCAGAGGATGCAAGGAGGGGTTCCTTATCCAGTGTTACAACCATCAGTGTAAGTTTTTTTTCTAATTTTGGGATAGACCAGAGTGGTATTCTCTTACCTTCGCTACCGGTTCGCAATTGAGAGCGTGCGCTCAGAGCATCAGAAATGGGATGTGATGATGACGTCTGGGCGGGTAGGCAGAACCTCCTGCAGCCACCGCTACCAATTTGCCCGAACCGGATAAAGCCAGCTGAATACCACCACTGGGATAGACCATGGGCATCCAATCTTGGCAACTTTTTAAGACCTGTGGACTTCAACTCCAGAATTCCCCAGCCAGCCATGCCAAAGTTGGAGACCCTGACGTTACGACTGTTCCTTCGGGCCCGCCGATAATAAGATAATGTCCTGATTTCTGGCACAAATTTCGTGGAGGCGGCGGCGAGAACGGCCTAGGCACACAATTTTCCTTAACCGCCTTTGAAGATCCAAGTCCAGGGGTACCCCTTCGTTCCCTCCCCCTGCCCCAAACCATCATTTTGTAAATTGTGTTGACTCTTGAGAGAGTTTATGAACCTTAGGGATCCAACCTCGATTCATAGACACATTTGTACACTAATATATATATATATATATATATATATATATATAATTCTGCAGCAGAATTTTTTTTTTTTTTTTAAGAAAAGGACAAAGAAAACAAGTCGCTGGGGTTTTATTTTGTAAGCTCTATTTTTGTATATTTAATTGCTATTTTAAAATTCTAATGCATCTTTTTTGCTAATCACAACACTCTTCTTAAAAAAAAAAAAAGGGGCAGGGGTGGGGCGTTCGCATGTGATTTGACTTGAAATGTAAATAAAAGCAAATTTTGGACATCACGGTGTTGAAGGATCTGTACAGCAAAGGCGCTTTGGATAATCCGCCAGGCGATAATCTTCCTTCGGTTGTGGGAGGGAGGAGGAGGAGGAGGAGGCGGGCTGCGGCACGCAGATTTCCGGCAAAAGGAAGCGTTACTATGTTTAGTAACATAGTTGTAAGAGTAGACAACAAAAGGAGGGGAATTCTATTCGCAAACGTAGCAGTAATACAGGTAGTCCTCGACTTGCGACTGGAATTGAGCCCAAAAATTTGTGTTGCTAAGCGTGAGAAATTTATTACGTGTTGGCCCATTTTACGACCTTTCTTGCCACACTCGTTAAGCCGATCGTTGCAGTTGTTAAGCTAATAACACAGTTGTTAAGTGAATCCCGCAGCTGTTAAGCGAGTAACACGGCTGTTAAGTAACTTTTCCCCGATTGAATTTGCTCGTCAGAAGGGGCGCAAAAGGGGATCACGGACCCCGGGACACTGCAACCGTCATAAATAGAGGAGTCAGTTGTCAAAGCATCCGGAATGTAAATTACGTCACCGTGAGGTGCTGCAACGGTCGTAAGTATGAAAAATGGTCCTATGTGACTTTGAACGGTCACTAAACGAATGGTGTATAGGTTGCAAGGACTACCTATATGTTGTCCAAACCCAGAAAATAGATTTAATTCATTTAACCTGGGAAAGCAGATTGTGCGAACCCTTCAAAATGGAAACATCCAAAGCAAATGTCTTGCACAAGGAATAGAGCTGGAAGGGAACTTGGAGGTCTTCTAGTCCAGCCCCTGTTGAAACAGGAGAACCTATACCTGTGATGGCGAACCTATGGCACGCGTGCGAGAGGTGGCACGCAGCGTCCTCTGATGGCACACAAGCCGACGCCCCAGTTCAGCTCCGCCATGCATTTGCACGCGCCTCCCGCCAGCCAGCTGGTCTTTGGGTCTCTGCCACGCATACGCGGGGGGCATGGCGTGTGCGGGGGGCATGTGCATGCGAGGGGAGCATGGCGCATGCAGGGGGTGCATGCATATGCATGGGGCACGGCATCGGGGGGCGCGTGAATACGTGGGGATGGGACACGTGCGTGGCTGCTGCGCACACATTGCATTTGGGGGGTTCGGGCATGCACACACGCACATGTGCTTTGGGCACTTGGTCCGGGAAAAGGTTAGCTGTCAGCATTCTGATGCTGCCATAAAAAAGACGAGGCTTGACTTTTCACCTACTTGTTTTCTCTGTAGATAATATCCCCTAGGAGATGGGATGGGAGGGGGGAGCATTCCTGTGGGCTGAGGTCAGAAGCTGGGGAGACTGACTTGGAAGATGGCCAATGAGAAGATGAGAATTGGGGAACGGAAAGGGAAGGGTTTGGAGGTCAGAGGGTTAGTATCGGCTACGACACAATGTCGGGGCCAGATCTGTTGTATTCAATAAATGGAATATTTCAGTAAATATTGTTTGGGAGTGCAATTTATTTGAGATGACATCGAAACCTGACATTAGCCACCACTGACCTATACCCGTGATGGCAACCCTATAGCACGCGTACCACAGGTGGCACGCGGAGCCATATTGGTGGGCACGCGAGCTCAGCTCCGGCATGCATGCGTGCACCAGCCAGCTGATTTTCGGGCCTTTTGGGCCACCGGAAGTCAGGGAAAAGGCTGTTTCGGCCTCCGAGGGAGTGGGGAAGGCCATTTTCACCCTCCCCAGTCTCCTAGAAAGGCTCTGGAGCCTGGGGAGAGCGAAAAATGGGCCTACCTTGCCATCGCATGCCAAAAGTGGGGGGACCGCGGGGGGGGGGGTCGCACACACATGCGTTGGGGGCGGAGCGCATAAAATTATGGGTGTGGGTACACACACGAGTGACCCCCACACACTCCCCCACTTTTGGCATGCGATGGCAAAAAGGTTAGCCGTCATTGACCTATACCGTCTCAGACAAGTGACTGTCCAGTCTCTTCTTAAAAACCTCCAGTGATGGAGCACCCACAATTTCTGGTGGCAAGCTGTTCCACTGGTTAATTGTCCTCACTGTTAGGAAGTTTCTCCTTGAATTCCAGGTTGCTTCTCTCCTTGGTTAGTTTCCATCCGTTGTTTCTCGTCCTGCCTTCTGGTGCTTTGCAAAATAAGTTGACACCCACCCCGCCATCTCTTCTTTGGGGCAGCCCCTCAAATACTAGAATACTGCTATCATGTCCCGTCCCGTCCCCCCCACCACAGTCCTTTTCTCTAGACTGGCCAAGGTGTTCAAGTGCATTTGCAAACATTTGCAGAAAGCAGAATGAAGTGCAAACTAGGCTGGCCGTTGGAAGAATCTGGAACTTTTTCAAGTCTGGAGGGTGGAGACAAGCCACGTTTACCGTCTCCCGATTGTTGGGAGACTCTGCGAGCTCAGCATTTTGGTACCTGTCTTGCACGTATCTTGCACAGAACTGTCGATCGGGCAAGTACAAAGGGTTTCCCACACCCCTCCCGTATGCAGCCCGGAGCAGTTCCCGGAATACAGCTGGCCCTCGACGTACGACTACAATTCCGCCCAAGCTTTGCACTGCTAAGCAAGGGAGTTGTTAAGTGAGTTTTGCCCAGGGTCACTATTTTTCTTGCCACGGTTGCTAAGTGAATCACTGCAAGTTATTAAGTTAGTATTTTAGAATAGAGCTGGAAGGGACCTTGGAGGTCTTCTAGTCCAGCCCCCTATTCAGGAAAGAGACCCTATACCAGGAGTTGGCAACCTTAAGAGCCACAAAGGTTTTAACCGGAAGCCCCCCGTTCAGTCCTGGAGCCGACGGGAAGTCTAGTTCCCTCACCATAGAGTCTCCTAGCGCGGTGTCCTTTTTCCCCTGCCGACCGGAAGTCCGGTTCCCCCACCATAGAGTCTCCTCCTAGCATGGCGTCCTACCTATCCTAACTGAAAGCCCTATCAATTGTGGAGCCGATCGGGGACAGGGAGCCGCAGCAGAGGGATGAAAGAGCCACATGCGGCTCCAGAGCCACGGGTTGCCGATCCCTGAATCCCTTTATCATCTCAGACAAGTGACTGTCCAGCTCTTCTTTAAAACCTCCAGTGATAGTAGCAAGGTTATTAAGTGAATCTGGCTTCCCACATTGACTCTGCTTGTCCGAAGGTCACAAAAGGGGGATCGCCTGACCATGGGACATGCAACTGTCGTAAGGCTCAACCCATCCAAGACCGAGTGGCTGTGGTTTCCGACGTCCCGATATAGTCAGTTGATGCCATCGCTGACTATTGGGGGCGAATCGCTGGCCCCCACGGAGAGGGCTCGCAACTTGGGCGTCCTCCTGGATTCACGGCTGTCTTTAGAAGAGCACTTGAATATGCGCGGGTGGTTATGGGAGCAACATGGCGCTCCCGTGTGACACCTCTCCTGCGCGAGCTGCACTGGCTCCCGGTGGTCTTCCGGGTGCGCTTCAAGGTTTTGGTTACCACCTTTAGAGCGCTCCATGGCTTAGGACCTGGCTACTTACGGGACCGCCTACTACCACAAACAGCCTCCCACCGGCCGGTACGCTCTCATAGAGAGGGGCTCCTCCGGGTGCCGTCAGCCAAACAATGTCGACTGGCGGCCCCTAGGGGGAGGGCCTTCTCTGTGGAGGCACCTACTATCTGGAACGAGCTCCCCCCGGAGATACAGAGGATCCCGGATCTGCGCACTTTCCGCCGTGCTCTTAAGATTCTCCTATTCCAGCAAGCCGGCCTGGCCTAATTTTCTCCCGTGTTTTAAAATTCTTTTAAATCGAAATTTTAATTTGTTTTAAATTATTGGGATTTTTTAATTGTCTCGGGCAAAATTATTTAATTTGGTTTTAATTATGTTTTTTAACTTTTGTATTTATGTGTTTTATTTTGTGCCTGTTCACCGCCCTTAGTCCTTCGGGAGTAGGGCGGTATACAAATTTAATAAAATGAAAAAAAAAATGAAAAGTACATGCCAGTTACCAAGTGTCTGAATTTTGATCGCGTGACCACGGGGATGCTGCAACGGTCGTTAAGTGTGAAAAACGGTCAGAGATTTGCTTTTTTTTCAGTGCCGTGGTCACTTTGGACAGTCACTAAACGAGCTGTTGTAACTCGAGGACTACCTGTATTCTCCATAATGCATGTGCCAAGTGAAGGAATGGTTGCTGATCGTAGGCCGAACGGGATCTCCAAGGGATCTCCTGTAAAATGCTGCTACAGTTCCCCAGAGTTAAAATCAGAGTTTGGGGCAACTGGTTTTGTAATAAAGGTAATCCTCAATTTACAACCTTTTGTTTATTAGCGACCATTTCAAAGTTACAAAGGCACCGAAAAAAGTGACTTAGGACCGTTGTTCACACTTACAACCATTGTAGCATCCCCGTGGTCACGTGATTTAAAATTCAGAGGCTTGACATCTGACTCGTATTTATGACGCAGCGCAGTGTCCCGGCGGTCACGTGACCCCCCCTTTTTGCGATCTTCTCACGAGCAAAGTCAACGGGGAAGCCGGATTCGCTTAACAACCGTGTTACTACATGAACAACTGCAGGGATTCACTTTAACAACGGTGCCAAGAAAAATGGCAAAATGGGGCCAAACTCATTTATCATCGCTCGCTTAGCAATAGTAATGTTGGGCTCATTTGTGGTCGTAAGTTGAATTCTCCCATCAGCTGTCTTTCTATTAATATTTGAACTTGAAAAATATTTGAATATTTGAAAAATATTTGAATATTTGAAAAAGACGGATTTAAGCACCAAGAACTGCTCGTATGAGGTTGTTTGGAATGGACCAGCCTGCCCCCTACAGGCCATGGATGAAAAGAGTTGAGCTCAACAAGTACAGGTAGTCCTCGACTTACAACATTCATTTAGTGACCGTTCAAAGTTGCAACAACACTTTAAAAAGTGACTTATGACCGTTTTTCACGCATATGACCGTTGCAGCATCCCAAGGTTTTTGATCATGTGATCAAAATTCAGAATCAACATTCAGAGGCTCGGCAACTGACTCATATTTATGACCGTC